CTTAGGTGCTGGGGATATAGCTCAGTATCATAGTGCCTGCCTGGCAAGCACGAAGTGGTGAATTTGATTCCCAGGACCAACAACAAAAAACCATACAAAACTCAGCTGCGTTGGGCCGGAGAGAGAGCACAGTAGAGTAAGCGCTTTCCTGGAAAGCGCAAGAACCTGAGTTCAATTTTTAAAAAAAGCAACACCTCAGCTGCACCCTTGGAGGGCATCCGGCTCCCTCGTCCTGCGGTAGGGTCTGGCTTTTCCCTCGCACTGCGGAGACAGCTCGGCGACGCAGCGGGCGGCGGCAGGAGCCTCGGCCTCCCGCGTTGAACTCGGGACCCTGTGCTAGCCAGGCAAGGCTTATTCTATTGAGCAATCCCCCAGACTCAGGAGGATCCGATGTGGTCCCAGACCTAGCAGCTTAGTGATAGCGAGATCCTGCTTCAAAATACAAAATTTTTTAAAGGCATGGGGATGTAATAGAGCTCCATGTGAGGGCCCCGGGTTCAACCCCCAGGCCTGAAATGCTCGATTCCACCAAGAGGGGAAAACATCTGTGACAAACACGGAAGTCCGCTCAGTTCACAGCCTTACCATATAAGGCACGCGGAAGGGAAGAACTCAAGACTGCCCCGCGGCCCTGGCTGGACGCGTAGTGTGCGCAGCATCGCCGGGCGCGCGGCGGGCAGGTGGTCCTGGCGCTGTGCCCACGGTGGCGGCGGGCCGGCGCCAGTCTCCTGCCTGCCTGCCTGCGGGCCCAGCACTTGGGAAGCTGAGGCAGGGTCACTGCGAAGTCCAGACCAGCCTGAACTACAGCAAGACCTTGCCCCTGTCCCAAATCCAAAAATAAATCTGCGCACCGCAGAATGTTCGTGCTCTCATTCTCGCTGCACAGTTGCAGTTCCGAGAAGCCACCCTTGGAAGGAGCCCTGGGGTGGAGCCGCACTCCCGACTGCGCTGGGCCCGCGGCTGCCCCTGGCGGCGACTAGGCAGCGGTGCAGCTGGCGCTGTTCTAAGCCTGCAAGGGGCTCTCTTGGGCTGTTTCCTGGGTGGATCTGCAACTTGGAACACCTAGCCAAAGGCCCCCGGTTGTCACCCTTAGAGATTGGACAGTCACCTACCAGCCCCTTGAGCTATTCTGCAAACTGCTAGGGTAGTCCCATGAAATCTATGTGGACCCTGAGAGAAATTTATAAAAGATTAAGAAAGAAAAGAGGGGGCTGGAGAGATGGCTCAGTGGTCTAAAGCACCTACTTGAAACAAGCTTGGCAAAGCACAAGGACCGCGGTTCAATCCTCCAGCACCACATGCCAGCCAGCCCCGCCCCCTGGTGGGCTGAGCTGGCCACACACACAATAAATAAATAATAAATATTAAAAAGAAAAAAAAAGAAAAGAAAGAAAAGAGGTAAAGTATGGTGCTGCATGCCTGTTACCCCAGTACATGGGAGCATGAGGCAGAAAGATTGCAGCAAGTTCGAGGCCAGCTGGGCTACACAGCGAGACCCTCTCTCAACAGAAAAAAAAATTAAAACAAATTGGCTTCCCTGGGCAGAGTCCCCAAGTCCAGTGGAACGTCTGCTCCGCTTGGGAAGGCTGTGGAGCCTGCGTTGGGCAGGGCTGGCCTGGGCTTTGGTTTCCAAGGAGACCCAGCTCCGCAAGGCAGAACCCTCTTTCGGGGTCCAGGTAGCAACACCCAGTTTATAAACCGCCACAGGAATAGGTTGAAAGCCCAAGCTATAAACTACGTCACTGCGGGGAGGGCTCTCCAGGTGAATGCAAGCAGACCTTCCCTTAGCGGCACTCGGCGGACTGCCCTGCACCAGCGCCCCGCATGCAGGCTCGTGTGCAGCGCAGGACTCGCCCTGCACAGAGGGTCTGGAAACCTGGAGGCCCAGCGCTCCTTGAGTGGCAAGCTGAGAGGCAGTTATCAAAACTGGGATATGTATTTAAGATGTTACTGCTTTTATAGTCTTATGCAAAAGTAATATAAATATATGAAAGAAAACTTTGATAGTCACCATATTATAAATAGCATTCATAAGGGACTTTTGGGCAATTAAAATATATAAAGAGAAGCCAGGCCCAGCAGTAGATATCTGTAATCCCAGCAACCTGGGAAGCTGGTTGGGGAAACTCCTGAGCCCAGGGGTTTGAGGCCAGCCTGGGCAGCAGAGTGAGCTCCCATTTCAGTAATAAATAAATGAATAAATGTGAAATATATAAAGGAAAGAGAAAGAACTGGACACTAATGGAATTTAAAAATATCCCGAAGGCACACCAAGATGGCAGAGCAGTGACAGCGAGAAAAAGCCTGAGATCCAGATGCTGGAATACAGCAACTCGGGGACGACAAGAAGGGGGCAAGCAGGTCCCCTGGACCCAGGCAAGACCCGAGGCATGAACTGAAAGCCACAGAGTGATGGAAGAAGCTCCAGTGAAGAGGAAGGAGGTAGCGCAAGGCCTTCTCACGCTGACGGAGAGCCTGACCCCTGGTGAGCACTGGCCACCGCAGCAGCGGCCTCCTCGGACAGAGGCAGCAGCCCAGGGGAGCCTTGGGGTGAATGGACCTCGGCTGGCAGCGAGCGCTGAGGGCTCAGTTGTCCTGCGGAGACAGCAACTGGCCAGGCGTCGCCTTAGAGAGGGGCTGGTGGGGAGAGCGGCTGCCAGCTCCAGCAGGCAGCTCCAGCCGGGCTCAGGCCCAAGGAAGGGTGCTGACGGCTGCAGGCGAATGCCGCTGCTCTCCCACACAAGCTGCAGAGCCACTAACATCATCCACGACGCGACCCCACCGAGAAGCTGCTGCTGGCTTCCTGGGAAAAACCAGCATGGATCAGGACTGTCTACCAGTGACAGCAAACATACCTGGAAATGGACTTTCTCTCTCTCTCTCTCTCTCTCTCTCTCTCTCTCTCTCTC